CTCGATACTAGATCCTCACACTTGATAATCAGAGCCTGTTTAGACGCGAAGTTTTTCGACCGCTAAAACCTAGCTTTTAAAACCGCGGGGCGACGACGAAAAGCGACGATTACGGGTACGTAAACCAGTTCCGCGCCATTTTCTAACGTCCCCCTCGAACCGGTTTTCGAACACTCAGGTCCAGTGGCGAAAATGTTGGAATTTCGACCGTCGGATTGAATCGAATCTCAACGGCTTTGAGAATTTCTACTAAAAAAGTTGAATTTGGAGCGTCGGATAGAATTTCTTCTCAACGGCCGAGATCAGACGTGAATTTCGACTAAGGGAGAAATATGCGACCTACAAAATAAGCGCTCGTCATTTCTACAGTCGATTCGACTTAAAATAAGACGACCAGCACCTAGAATTCGATTATTTTCGTCGCACATTTTCCTATAAATCGCCAAATGGAGGAAGATGGTGATAATTCCATACGAAAAATTACGGAGTTACACACCAGCTTGGACCGAAAGCGAGCGGCACTCCAGCGAATAGAGGCGCTTCTCGCGAACCAGTCGGCAGCCGCCACGGCAGCAGCGAACGCAACGGCGAATGCAGCAGCGACGTCATCAGCAGCAGCGGCGACACCGACACTTCACCCAGCAGCAGTGGCAGCAGCTACAGTGAATCTTGAGGCACCACGTCCGAGGCTAACGGAGACATTCAATCCGAATGCAAGAGACACCGACGTCCGTCGATTCATTGCGACCCTCGAAATTGACTTCGAGGCCGTTGGCTGTACGACCCCGACATACGATGCAATGCAGATTCGGCTCGCGGCGACACTGTTACGAGGCCCGGCGCTCTAGTGGATTTACAACAGCAACGAGGTCCGAGGCGAGGGGTCATGGACGCAGTTTTGGGAAGATTTATTTCAACGTTTCGAACCAATCAACTCCAGCTACTTGGTGTTAGAATTGAGGAATGAAATGAACTAGCAAGCAGGTGGGTACAAGAAGGAAAACCTAAAAGTGTTGTACCCCATATTGTCTACCCGACTACAGCCTACACAGACTATAGCATATGAGTTTGACACACCCCCATAGGCAAAGTGGGGGAGAACAAGAGGTCACAAGACCAGTCAAGCAAAGCAAAGCAAGCTCAGGGTGGATCACAACGTCACCACACATTCCGAGCACAAGGTCAAGGCCAGAAGGCCAGTTCACATGCAAGATCATATATAAAGGTAAACAAGCAAGTGCAGGTATAGAAAGATCACAGGTCAAGAAGTGAGCAAATGAGGCCAAGTAGGCACAAGACCTACCATAGTACAGAAGCGTTGATGATCACCAGGCGGAAGTGCCTTGGTAAAGATATCAGCAGTGTTGGCCTGAGAGGCCACATAAGCAAGGCGCAGCTGACCACGCTGCTGCAGCCCACGAGCAAGGAAGTAGCGAAGAGCAATGTGCTTCGTTCTGTGCTCCAGTCTGTGCTCCCGACACAAGGCCAGCATGGCCTTGTTGTCTACGTACAGAACTGGAGGAGAACGAGGCGGCACTCCTAGGTCACTCAGCAGGTAGGTGAGCCAGCGTAGCTCCTGTGCAGCCATGGCCCCCGCGTAGATCTCAGCCTCACAGCTAGAGCCGAGAACAGAAGACGAACGGGTAAACCGCCACGAAACAGAGCCGCAACCAAGGCTGAAGGTGTAACCCTGTGACGACCGCTGCGTAGCCTGGTCGTCAGCCCAAGAAGCGTCTGCGTGACCTGTGAGGACCACTCGACGTCGCGCTCCAAGCACTAGCCCCATGCCCGACGTACTGCACAAGTAGCACAACACCCTCTTCGCTGCAGCCATGTGCTCTGGTCGGTGTCTCCCAGGAGCAACATAGCGTGCCAAGATGCTAAGAGGGTATGCAAGGTCAGGTCGAGTGCAGGTCATCAGGTACATGAGGCAGCCAACAAGCTCTGGGTACGGGCCACTCGGCTCTACGGACTCATCCGAAGGCAGAGCTGAGAGCGAGTGGCGAGTAGACAGAGGAGTGGCCTGAGGCGAGGAGTACGTGAAGTCGAAGCGCTGAAGGACCTGCTGCACCATGTGTGACTGAGTCAGGGTAATGGTGCGCTGTGCTCTGTCCCGGGTGATCTGCAAGCCAAGGTAGCTGCGCAGTTCACCCAGGTCTATGCACGTGTGTCTCTTCTGCAGCTCGGACTTCACATGGGCGAGTCCAGCAGTGTCAGCAGCGGCAAAGACCAAGTCGTCGACGTACACGAGGATGTAGAACGGCGGCAAAGAGGTGTTGGTGCGCAGAAAGAGCGACGGGTCGGCAGTAGAAGGAGCAAACCCAGGAGCGAACCCTGTAGGAAAGCAGTGCTGAAGTCAAGAGAGTGAAGCTCGTAGTCGCGCTGAGCGGCTATGTGCAGCAGCACCCGAAGAGTGGTCATCTTCGGGGTGGGAGAGAAGGTCTGAAAGTAGTCAACTCCCTGCCGCTGACTGAAGCCTCGAGCCACGTAACGCGCCTTGAAGACAGGCGGAGAACCTGGCGGCCGCTTCACCCTCAAAATCCACATGCCACTGACGATGTTCGCCCCAGGTGGGGGAACTTCGTCGACGTAGGTGCCTGTGGACTTCCAGGAAGCCATCTCTGCGTCCATGGCTGACTGCCACTGTGAGGAGTAGGGACCGTCGATCGCCTCAGCGTACGATCGAGGAGTCGGGATGTCTGGTGCATCTGGGTCTCCCTCAGGGGCAATCAGCGTGGACACAAGATGAGGCAAAGCAGCAGCAAAACACTAGAACTCCTCCTGCCTGTCCTCAAGGACGTCCGTGTTAAGAGCACACTCACCCCCGACGGACGGAGGACAGACAGACTTAGACTCAGCAACAAGGATAGCAGCGTAGTCTAGACGACAGCGAGTAGCAAAGTCGACAAGCTCAGCAACTAAGGCAGACGCAGCAGTGGACTCAAAGGAAGGGTCAGTGAAAAACAGTAGCCAGGAGACGCGTGACAGTAGGACTCGCAGCACGAAGAGAGTCAGAATCCGGGTCAGCAAGGATAGGAAGAGAGGAATTTGGAGGAGACGACAACGGGACATGGAGAGAAGCAGTGGAAGGACGCAGTGCCATCTGGTCTGTTCCTGGGACCACAGGAGGACGCGGACGCGGAGTACGACTACTAGTGTGAGCAGCACGAACAGGCAGCAGGACGAGACGCAGGCTCACGACACTCAGCAAGACCTCCAGTAGGACCAGTGTAGGGAGGAGGAGCAGGCAGGGGGGAGGCGGGCTGTAACTGTGACCGCGACTGGACAGGCTGTGGACACTCTAAGGGAGGAGAAGGACAAGTAGAGGGCGGGAGACCAAGAACCTGCTCAAGGAGCGGAACGAAGTACGGCCGCGGCCGCGCAGCGCCTCCAGAACCAGCAGGGACAGCACCAGTACCCCCACCGGCAGCACCAGCGCCACGAGCACCTCTACCTCCAACAGGGCCAACTCCAGCACCCTCAGACGCACCAGCGCCAGCAGTACCTCCAGCGCCAACACCCCCAGCAGCTCCAGCTCTAGCAGCTCCAGCTCCAGCAGGACCGTCAGCTCCAGTACCGCCAGCAGCTCCAGCAGTACCTCCAGCAGGACCAACTCCAGCAGCCCCAGCAGCACCCCCAGTCCCAGCAGCTCCAGTACCGCCAGGACGAGCACCTCCAGGACCAGCAGTAACAGTAGCACCTCCAGCTCCAGCAGCACGGCTCCAGCGCCGGGCAAACCACTCGCGCAGCTCCTGCCGAGAGAGTAGCTCCCGCCTCAACGAAGCACCGCTAGAGGCCACACGAGTAGACCCAGCACCCCCAGGCTCCGCACCCCCAGGCTCTGTACCCCCAGGCTCAGCACCCCCAGGCTCCGCACCCCTAGGCTCAGCACCCCTAGACTCAGCACCCCCAAGCTCCGCACCCCCAGGCTCAGCACCCCTAGACCCAGCACCCGCAGGCTCAGCACCCCTAGCAGCATTAGAGTCAACAGCTACCTCGGCAGGCTCGACTGCGTCTACCTGGGACACACCTTGAAGGGCAGGACCCTGAGGGGGGAGAGGGTCTACCGGGGGAGGACCTGGCGCAAGGAAGAGCGGCGGCGGGGGGAGGGGCGCAGTGCGGTAGGGGAAGAGACGGTAGTAAGGCACCGACTCGTCAAAGGTGACGTCCTGGGAGGACAAAACACGGCGCGAGGTGGGGTGGTAAAACTGCCAACCAGGCGCGTCACGGGGGAAGCCAAGGAAGACGCATGGAACCGCACGGGGGGGACAGCTTGTCCGCAGACAAGTCGCGGACAAACGCCCGAGATCCCCAGACGTGAAACGCAGACGCATCGCCAACCTTCCCCGTCCACTGCAAGGTGGGGGAGGTCTCTGGCAAGGAGACCCGGGGCTGAAGGTTGAGCTGATGCGCTGCGTACTGAACCGCAAACGGCCACAGAAAATGGGGAGCAGCCGCATCGATCATGGACGTACGAGCGACGTCCATGACCATGCCGATGCGGCGCTCAGCAATCCCATTTTACTGTGGAGAGGCCGTAAGCGTGAAGGTCTAGCGGATGCCCTCAGCATGACAGAAGGCTCCCAGAAGGGCAGAGGAAAACTCCCCGCCTCTGTCAGAGTGCAGACGCAGAACAGGAAAGTCCGAGCCGAAGCTCTCCTGAGCTGGAGACGAGCTGCGCGGATGCAGTCGATCAACACCTCAGTGACGTCACCCTTGCTGCGCAAGGGGAAGACTATGGTGTAACGCGAGTAGTCGTCAACCACCAACAGGAAGAAACGCTCGCGACCCTGGCCACGGACGCGGGCGGGGCCCCACACGTCCATGTGATGAGTCTGCAGCGGAGCCTCTGTCGGAGGAAACGTGGCCAAGTGTCGGCCCGTCCGAGCACACGTACAGTGGGTCACCCGCTGACTCGCAGGAGTGAACTGGTCAACCCCCCGATCCTGTAGATCAGCACCACTCACCAATTTCGTAGAGAACGAGGGGAGGTAGAGACCTCACAGGGTGCCAGAGGGGGCTGCCAGACACGGTAAGACAGTGGAGAAGCGAGCAAGGAAAGGACCCCCAGAGGGGTCCGCTAGGGAGACCGCAACCGACCGACTAAGCGGCGTAAGCGTGGTGCGGTCTCGAAAGAAGGAGCGGGAAGCACCCGAGTCAAGGGTGAAGGTGTGTAAGGCCTGAGCCGACGTGGTACCTGAGAGAGCAGACTCACCAGCACCTAGGGCAGCAGACGCACTAGCACCTAGAGCAGCAGCCTCACCAGCACCTAGAGCAGCAGCCTCAATGCCCGGGTCAGGTGGAACACACAGGTAACAGTCACCCACATCACTAGTACACACAGCATACATGGCGGCAAGAATAGCATCATAGTCAAGATCAAAGATAGCAACCCCCGCCCTAGACAGCTCTCCCCAGCGAGGGATCTCAGTGGCGTCAGGGAACTTGTGACACCAAGCGTCCGTCAGGTGGCCGGAGCAGCGCTGGGTGGAGTGCGAGCCTTCGCACTACTCACCAGCTCGGTCGCCGGTACGGAGGACGTAGGTACAGGGACCAGTACCCCCACCTCGCTGACGCCCAGCGTACCACTCACGAAGCTACTGGGGGGACGGGGTCTCACGAGTGCGCTGCTGCTGCTGGCGCTGACCACCACCTAAGCCGCCCCGCTGCGCAGAGCCACCCCAACCAGCTCCACCTCCTCCGCCGCCACCTCCGCCACCGCCGCCACCGCCTCCTCCTTCGCTCTCACCGCCACCGCCGCCACCGCCGCCACCAAAGCCCCCACCCCCGCCACCACTCCCACCACCACCTCCACTCCCTCCGCCTCCTTCACCTCCACCTCCGCCGCCCCCGCCAGCCCCTCCAGCGCCCTTGCCCCCCTTGCAATTGCCGGTGCGGCGTCGCTCGCTAGGGGCAGACGCAGCGCCGACCGACTCGGTGCCAACGAAGTCGACGGCAGCAGCAGAGGCAATAAAGGGCAAAAGGGGGGAGGGGGAGCACCCCTCAAATACAGGGGCACGCGGGTCACCTCTAGATGCTCCTACAGCGACTATACTCTTCTAAGCTGCCAGGAGGCGCTCCTCGAGGAGGTCAACTGTGAGTGTGGTGGGGCAAACAGAGAGGAAGTGGTCCCTGAACGAGCGAAGGGAGTCAGGGAGCCGGGTGACTATGTAGTAGAGGGTGATGTACATGGGGGGGGGGGGTTCTTGGCGCAGAACTCAGCAGGAAGCGCAGCGCGGTAGCGGGTGTCACTAGTGCGAAGGTGCATAACGAGGTCAGCGACAGTGGGAAAGGCGGCGAGGTCAGGAGACAGGTACGGCAGTATGAGGCGGCTAAGAGCAGCAGTGGCAGGGGAGGAGTAGCGTGCAACTACAGCGTCGTACAAGGTCTTAGCACTCTTGCACTGACTAAAGTGCGCACGCTCAGCGGTCGGTAAGTGGCGACGCACAGCAAGACGGGCAGCAGCATCGCGCGTGGCCCACTGTGAGCGAACAGTGCTGTCGGCATCAGCAGGCGGGGCAGGAGAGGCACCAGAGGTGAGATCGAACAGGGAGAGTGCGTCTGCCATATCGCACTGTAGGAAAAGCTGCAAGTCATCGACCCAGACCTCAAAATCAACAGCACGACCCTCAGCATCAAAGGTAAGGACACTGGGGGTAGCCATGACAGCAGTGGTCTAGCAGGGAGTGCTCTCACCAGTCTAGGTGGGTAGGGCCGGGGCGCGCTGGTAGAAACAGGGCTGCAATAGCGGTGGCAGCGGCTCGACAGAGGCAGTGGCGGCTCCACGGCGGCCTCGGCGGCTCGGCTGTTCCGCGGCTCGGCGGCTCGGCTGCAGGCGACTCGGCGGCTCGGCAGCTCGGCGGCTCGGCAGCTCGGCGGCTCGGCGGCTCGGCTGCTTGGCGGCTCGGCGGCTCGGCGTTGAAGGGGGCGAGACGGCGACGGGGCTGCAAGAGGGCGGCTACGGGGCCGCAAGAGGGCGGCGACGGGGCCGCGAGAGGGCGGCGACGAGGCCGCAAGAGGGCGGCACTAGGGCTGCTAGTGGGCGGCGACGCGGCCGCGAGAGGGCGACGACGAGGCCGCGAGGAGCGGCTGCAGGGCCGCGACGGGCGGCGACGTGGCCGCTAAGGGCGGCGTCGGGGCCGCGAACGGCGGCGACGGGGCCGCGAGAGGGAGGCGACAGGGCCGCGATAGGGCGGCGACAGGGCCGTGGAGGTGGGGCCGCAAGGGGCCGCTAAGGGCAGCGCGACGGGCCATTCAGGGCGGCGCGACGGGCCGCTAGGGGGCGGCGACGGGGTCGCGAGGGGCCGTGAGAGAGGGGGCCGCTAAGGGCGGCGCGACGGGTCGCTAAGGGGAGGGCGGCACACAGGGCGCGCCTCGGTCAGGGGCGACTCGATCTCAGGGCAGGGAAAAAAAAAATCGATTTTCAGTGGTGGGCCCTAGGAAGTTCCCACTAGGAAACCTGCTCTATACCATGTGAGAATTGAGGAATGAAATGAACTAGCAAGCAGGTGGGTACAAGTAGGAAGACCTAAAAGTGTTGTACCCCATATTGTCTACCCCACTACAGCCTACACAGAGTATAGCATATGAGTTTGACACTTGGCGCGGCAGCAAATTCATCGGCATAAACAGTACGGCAGTGTAACATATTACATGTGAAAGGTAGAACGGGAATGATGGCATTGAGCAGCATGAGGACTACACGTAGGAAACCCTAAAGTGTTGTACCCCATATGAACTACCCCGCTGCAGTCTACACAGACTATAGCATATAAGTTTGACACACCCCCATAGGCAAAGTGGGGGAGAACAAGAGGTCACGAGACCAGTCAAGAGAAGCAAAGCAAGCTCAGGGTGGATCACGAAGTCACCACGCATTCTGAGCACAAGCAAATGGCCACAAGGCCAGTTCACATGCACAGTTATATAAAGTCGAACAAACAATACAGTGATCACAACCTAGCATGTGTGAGCATGCATGTATATGTATAAAGATCATAGTACAAGCAAAGTCAAGAAGTGAGCAAGTGAGGCCCAGTGGGCACAGGGCCTAGAACAGTACAGAAACGCTGATGATCACAAGGCTGAAGTGCCTTGGTGAAGACATCAGCAGTGTTGGCCCGAGTGGCCGCGTAAGCGAGACGAAGCTGACCATGCTGCTGCAACTCTCGAGCAAGGAAGTAACGCAGAGCGATGTGCTTCGTTTTGTGCTCCAATCTGTGCTCCTGACACAAGGCAATCATGGCCTTGTTGTCGACGTACAACACTGGAGGAGAACGAGGCGGCTCTCCCAGGTCGGTCAGCAGGTAGGTGAGCCAGCGTAACTCCTGTGCAGCCATGGCCCCTGCGTAGATCTTAGCCTCACAGTTGGAGCTGAAACAGAAGACGGGCGGGTAGACAGCCATGAAACAGAGCCTGAGCCAAGACTGAAAGTGTACCCCTGCGATAATCGCTGTGTAGCCAAGTCGTCAGCCCAGAAAGCGTCTGTGTGACCAGTGAGAACAACTCGAGCCCGTCCTCCAAGCACGAGCCCCATGCCCGACGTACTGCACAAGTAGCGCAACACCCTCTTAGCGGCATCCATGTGCTCCTTCCAGTGTCTCCCAGGAGCAACATAGCATACCAGGATGCTAAGAGGGTATGTCAGGTCAGGTTGAGTGCAGGTCATCAGGTACATGAGGCAGCCCTTAAGCTTTTAATATAGCCACTCGGCTCTACGGACTCATCCGAAGGCAGAGCTGAGGGCGAGTGGCGAGGAGGCAGAGGAATGGGCTGTGGCGAGGAGTACGTGAAGCCAAAGCGTTGAAGGACCTGCTGCACCATGTGTGAGTGAGTCAAAGTAATGGTGCGCTGTGCTCTGTCCCGGGTGATCCGCAAGCCAAGATAGCTGCGCATCTCACCCAGGTCTGTGCACGTGTGTCTCTTCTGCAGCTCCGACTTTACGTGGGCGAGTCCCTCAGTGTCAGATGTAGCAAAGACCAAGTCGTCGACGTACACGAGGACGTAGAACGGCGGCAGAGAAGTGTCGGTGCGTAGAAACAGCGACGGGTCAGCAGTGGAAAGAGCAAAGCCAAGAGCCGCAAGGGTCGTCCTCAGTGTGTCGTGCCACTCACGGGGCGCCTAGCGGAGACCGTAGACTGGCCGCCGGAGGCTCCACTGGGTACCAGGAGGAAACGACCCAGTGAAGCAAGGTGGGTGGCGCAGCCAGATCTCCTCGTGCAGGCTATCCCCGTAGGAAAGCAGTGCCTAAGTCAAGAGAGTGCAGCTCGTAGTCACGCTGAGTGGCGACGTGCAGCAGAACCCATAAGGACCACTTGGCTCTATGGACTCGTCCAAAGGTGGAGCTGAGAGCGAGTGACCTGTAGCCAGAGGAGTGGCCTGTGCTGAGGACCAGGTAAAGCCGAAGCGCTGAAGGACTTGCTGCACCATGTGTGACTGAGTCAGTGTGATGGTGCGGCGTGCTCTGTCCCGGGTGATCTACAAGCCAAGATAGCTGCGCAGCTCACCCAGGTCTGTGCACGTGTGTCTCTTCTGCAGCTCCGACTTCACCAGGGCGAGAGCCTCAGTGTCAGCAGTGGCTAAGACCAAGTCGTAGACGTACACGAGGATGTAGAACGGCGGCAGGGAAGTGTCGGTGCGTAGAAACAACGACGGGTCAGGAGTCTACGGAGCAAACCCAAGAGCCGCAAGAGTCGTCCTCAGTGTGTCGTGCCACTCACGCGGCGACTGACGGGGACCGTAGACTGGCCGCCGGAGGCTCCACTGGGTACCAGGAGGGAACGACCCAGTGATGCCAGGAGGGCGGCACAGCCAGATCTCCTCGTGAAGGCTGCCCTGTAAGAAAGCTGTGCTGAAGTCAAGAGAGTGAAGCTCGTAGTCACGCTGAGCGGCAACGTGCAGCAGCACCCGAAGAGTTGTCATCTTCGGGGTGGGGGAGAAGGTCTGGAAGAAGTCAACTCCGTCTGGCTAACTGAAGCCTCGTGTAACGTAACGCGCCTTGAAGACAGGCGGAGAACCCGGCGGCCGCTTCACCCTGAAAATCCACATGCCACTGACGATGTTCGCCCCAGGAGGGGTAACCGCGTCAACGTAGGTGCCTGTGGACTTCCAGGAAGCCATCTCTGCATCCATAGCTGCCTGCCACTGAGAGGAGTAGGGACCCTCTACGGCCTCCGCGTAAGAGCGCGGAGTCGGGATGTCTAGTGCATCCGGGTCTCCCTCAGGGGTAAGCACTACGGACGCGAGATGAGGTGAAGCAGCAGCCAGACACTGGAACTCCTCCTGCCTGTCCTCAAGGACGTCCGTGCCAAGAGCACACTCACCCCCGATGGACGGAGGACAGTCAGACTCAGACTCAGACTCAGCGACAAGACTAGCGGTGTAGTCTAGACGACAGGCGGCAGCAAAGTCAACAAGCTCAGCAACAAGGGCAGACGCAGCAGTGGACTCGAACCACGGGTCAGTGACAACAGTTGCCAGGAGACGCGTGACAGTAGGACTATCAGCATGGAGTCAGACTCCGGGTCCGGACCGTCAACAGGTGCGTGCCGGAGGCAGGAGGAGGACGCGGACGCTGAACACGACGACTAGTGCGAGTAGCGCGAACAGGCGACGAAGGACGAGACTCAGGCTCACGACGCTCCGTAAGACCTCTATTCGGCCCAGAGTAAGGAGAAGGACCAGGGAGTGGAGAGGCTGGCTGTAGCAGCGACTGCGGCTGGGCAGCCTGTGGACACAGTAAGGGAAGAGAGGAACCAGTAGAAGGCGGGAGGTCAAGAACCTGCTGAAGAAGCGGAATGAAGTACGGCCGCGGCCACGCAGCGCCTCCAGAACCAGCAGAGACAGCACCAGTACCCGCAGCTCCAGGGTCTCCAGCTCCTACTCCTGCAGCACCACCAGCTCCAGTACCTCCAGCATCTCCAGCTCCAGTAGCACCTCCTGCAGCAACTCCCGCAGCACCACCAGCCACACCAGCACCAGCAGTATCTCCAACAGCTCCAGCTCCGGCAGCAGCTCCAGCTCCTCCTGCACCTCCAGCACCAGCAGTACCTCTAGCAGCTCCAGCTCCAGCAGCACCTGCACCAGCAAGGCCTCCAGCAGCACCTCGCTTGAGTTTCTAGCGGCGAGCAAACCACTCACGTAGCTGCGGTGGGAAGAGAGGCTCCCGCCAAGACGAGGCACCTTCAGGAACTCCAACAGACTCCGCACCCCCAGTCTCAACAACCGCAGGCTCAGCACCCTCAGACTCAGAACCCCCTGGCTCCGCACCCTCAGACTCAGCAACCTCAGGCTCAGCACCCCCACACTCCACACACTCAGGCTCAGCACCCCCAGGCTCCACACGCTCAGGCTCAGCACCCCCAGGCTCCGCACGCTCAAGCTCAGCACCCCCAGTAGCAGCATCAGAGTCAACCGCTTCCTCGACAAGCTCGACTGCGTCTACCTGAGACACACCTGAGGGGGCAGGACCTTGAGGGGGGAGGGGGTCTATCGGAGGAGGACATGTGGCAAGGAAGAGCGGCGGGGGGGGGGGGGGGGGAGAGAGTTAGTGCGGTAGGGGAAGAGGCG